ACCAGGACTAAACCAGGACTAAACCAGGACTAAACCAGGAACTAAACCAGGACTAAACCAGGACTAAACCAGGACTAGACCAGGACTAAACCAGGACTAAACCAGGACTAAACCAGGACTAGACCAGGACTAAACCAGACTAAACCAGGGACTAAACCAGGACTAAACCAGAAACCAGAGACAGACTAAACCAGGTCTAACCAGGACTAAACCAGGACTAAACCAGGACTAAACCAGGACTAAACCAGGACTAGACCAGGACTAGACCAGGACTAGACCAGGACTAGACCAGGTCTAGACCAGGTGTGTGTGTGGCAGGTGCGGACATTCGTGGTGTTCGTGGTTCTGACGCCGGTCGGGTTTTGGCGGATGCTCTTCGGTCGTTCCTGTGGGAGCTGCAGGTGGAGGACGGGCTCCAGGCGCTCGGGTACTCGTCTGAGGACGTCCCCGCACTCGTGCAGGGGACACTCCCACAGGTGAGACGCTCCCACAGGTGAGGCGCTCCCACAGGTGCGGCGCTCCCACAGGTGAGACGCTCCCGCAGGTGAGGCGCTCCCAGGTGAGACAGATGAGACGCTCCCACAGGTGAGACGCTCCCGCAGGTGAGACACTCCCGCGACACTCCACAGGTGAGACAGGTGAGACAGCTGAGGTGAGGCGCTCCAGGTGAGACGCAGGTGAGACGCTCCCGCTCCCACAGGTGAGACACGCTCCCGCAGGTGAGACGCTCCCGCAGGTGAGACGCTCCCGCAGGTGAGACGCTCCCGCAGGTGAGACGCTCCCGCAGGTGAGACGCTCCCGCAGGTGAGACAGGTGAGTGAGACGCTCCCGCAGGTGAGAGACACTCCCGCTCCCAGGTGAGACAGGTGAGAGACAGGTGAGCTCCCACAGGTGAGCGCTCCCGCAGGTGAGGCGCTCCCACAGGACGTGGGACAGGTGAGAGACGACTCCGTTGGGACAGGTGAGACGACAGGTGAGACGACAGGTTGAGACACGTGGGACAGGTGAGACGCTGGGACAGGTGAGACGTTGGGACAGGTGAGTCGTTGGGACAGGTGAGACGTTGGGACAGGTGAGACGTTGGGACAGGTGAGACGTTGGGACAGGTGAGACGTTCTCTTTGTGTCCGTTTGGTTTGTGGAGCTTCACGACTCGACCGTTTGTTTTTGTTTCTTTTCGTGTTTGTCGTTTCAGGAGCGAGTGACCAAACTGTCGCCCAGAAGCCACACCCACGACGACCTCGAGGAGCTGTTCCACCAATCACTGAAGCTCTACTGACCCCACCCCTCTCACCTGACCCCGCCCCCTGCACCTGACCTCTCACCTGACCCCGCCCCCCACACCTGACCCTCTCACCTGACCCCGCCCCTCTCAACTGACCCCGCACCTGACCCTCTCACCTGACCCCGCCCCCCACACCTGACCCTCTTCACCTGACCCCGCCCCCCCCACCTGACCCTCTCACCTGACCCCGCCTCCTCACCTGTCACTGAGGCCGAGATGAGGAGGAGACAAGGAGGAGGAGATGAGCAGGAGGAGCCGAGGAGAAGGAGACGAGGAGAAGGAGACGAGGAGGGAGGAGACGAGGAGAAGGAGACGAGGAGAAGGAGACGAGGAGGAGGAGACGAGGACAAGGAGACGAGGAGAAGGAGACGAGGAGGAGGAGACGAGGAGGAGGAGACGAGGAATTACCTCAGAGTTTTTTCTTTCTTCGGATCATTTCATTTGATTTGTGTTTTTGATGAAATAATAAAATTTTTTATGATCATTTCATTTAAATGTTGTTTTGACTGAACCTGCCCCAGACGACAGGAGGCACCTGTCACAACCTGTCACACGAGGAGGAGGGACCTGACACACACGGGGAGGAGGGACCTGACACACGAGGAGGAGGGACCTGACACACACGAGGAGGAGGGACCTGACACACACGAGGAGGAGGGACCTGACACACGAGGAGGGACCTGACACACGAGGAGGAGGACCTGACACACGAGGAGGAGGGACCTGACACACGGGGAGGGACCTGACACACGGGAGGAGGGACCTGACACGGAGGAGGGACCTGACACAGGAGGGAGGACCTGACACACACGGGACGGGGAGGGACCTGACACACGGGGAGGAGGGACCTGTCACACGGGGAGGAGGGACCTGACACACGGGAGGAGGGACCTGACACACCTGACACACGAGGAGGAGGGACCTGACACACACCTGACACACACGGGGAGGAGGGACCTGACACACGGGAGGAGGGACCTGACACACACGGGGAGGAGGGACCTGACACACAGGGGAGGAGGGACCTGACACACACGGGGAGGAGGGACCTGACACACGGGGAGGAGGGACCTGTCACGTTGTTTTCAGATTTATTTTCGTTCGTTCTGAATTGTTTGTATAAAGTTAAAAATTGTCCCTTTTTTTTTTTTTCTTCCGTGACTCGTCCCAAAATCTTAAATTTAAACTTTGATAAATGTTTAAAAGAAGCTGCTGCTGGAATAATCCACTGACCAGAGTTTCTCCTCAAACACTTCACTTAGTTTTTAGATTCAGTGACAGATTTACTCGATTCAAGACCAACGACGAACCACAAACACGTACGACCCATTTAACAAACTTCTACCCACAATTTAGCATCAGGCACCAAAACTCATTTTAAATCATGTTTGTCTCAAATTTATCCTGCATAAAATTCTTTCCAGCCCGTGAACTCGGAGCAAAACTCGTCCAGTAAATTGATCTTCTACGTCAGGAGAGTCAAACTCATTTTGTTCCGGGGGCCGAGTCCAACCGACTTTGATCCCAAAGTGTCCGGATCAGAAAACTCATGTCATATAAACCCCAAAAATAGCAATAAGTTAAAATATTAGTGCAGAGAAACACGAATGTATTACAGAAATCTTTTTTATTTGATGAACTCTTTTTTTTAACAAAATATTATATTATGAACAACCTGAAACTTTAAGAAAAATGTATTTTCAACACAATGTTTGAACATGAACTCATATAAACAGGAATAAATCCATTTTTGTTGTAAAATCCTGCACTTGGCTCCACTTTTCTCATGTTGGACATTTTTCTGATGAAGGTGTCACGGTCAACAGTCAAAACCATCGTCCTTTAAGACGTCTGGAAAGAGACAAGTCTTCATTTGTGCTGCTCTGGTGGGAGGGGCCACGTACAGAGACACTGGAGACGCTGCTGTGATAAACAGAAACAGAAATAGAAAATCAGCAGAGGGCCACATTAAAGGTCTCGGAGGGCCGGATCTGGCCCCCGGGCCGTATGTTTGACACCTGTCTCTACGTGGACGCGTCTTTTCTTACAGATTTAAATGTTTTAATTTGACGTTTGTTGTTTTTCGCAGTGAAAGTTCTAGAGCTGTGACAGAACTGGACACAAAAGACTTGGACTCAGTTTAAGTTTAATCAAGTTTAAAACAGCACACGACAGGTGAAACAGACAGGTGAAGGTAACAGGTGAAACAGACAGGACAGGGTAACAGGTGAAACAGACAGGTGAAACAGACAGGTGAAAACAGGTGAAACAGACAGGTGAAGGTAAAGACAGGTGAAACAGACAGGTGAAACAGACAGGTGAAGGTAACAGGTGAAACAGGTAAAGTGCTAAAATCATTTTGGGTTTAATGTTGAACTTTTCAAGTTGTCATAGAAACGTGACACAAACAGAGTTTATAAATAAATAAATATAAACAATAAAATTTTAAAATCTGATAAAATAGTTTTGTTAAAAATAGTAATATTTCTCTAAAATCTGTTTAAATTTAGTTTAAAAATCAACCTTAAAAATCTCTTAGTGCAGCTTTAAAATAAGTGACAGTTCAGTGAACGAGTGAACGAGTCAGGTCTGTGGAGCGGAGGGCTCAAGCCTCAGGTGGGGTCTCAGGTCTCAGGTGTCAGGTGGAGGTGTCAGGTGGAGGTCTCAGGTGTCAGGTGGAGGTCTCAGGTGTCAGGGGGGGTCAGGTGAGGTCTCAGGTGTCAGGTGCGGGTGTCTCAGGTGTCAGGTGGGGGTCTCAGGTGTCAGGTGGGGGTCTCAGGTGTCAGGGTCAGGGAGGTCTCAGGTGTCAGGGGGGTGTCAGGTGGAGGTCTCAGGTGTCAGGTGGAGGTCTCAGGTGTCAGGTGGGGTCAGGTGTCAGGGTCAGGTGTCGGTGAGGTCTCAGGTGTGTCAGGTGTCAGGTGGAGGTGTCTCAGGTGTCAGGTGGAGTGTCAGGTTCAGGGGTCTCAGGTGTCAGGTGGGGTGTCAGGTGGAGGGTCAGGTGGTCGGTGAGGTCTCAGGTGTCAGGTGGAGGTCTCAGTGTCAGGGGGGGTTCTCAGGTGGGGTCAGGTGTCAGGTGTCATGTGTGGAGGTCTCAGGTGTCAGGTGGAGGTCTCAGGTGTCAGGTGGAGGTCTCAGGTGTCAGGTGGAGGTCTCAGGTGTCAGGTGGGGGTCTCAGGTGTCAGGTGGGGGTCTCAGGTGTCAGGTGGGGGTCTCAGGTGTCAGGTGGAGGTCTCAGGTGTCAGGTGGGGGTCTCAGGTGTCAGGTGGAGGTCTCAGGTGTCAGGTGGGGGTCTCAGGTGTCAGGTGGGGGTCTCAGGCCTGCTCTGTGAGGCTCACCTGGTTGTCTGTTTTCCCGAACATCACCACCTGCAGCTCCTCACTCAACTACACACACACACACACAAAACACACACAAAACACACACACACGCAAAACACACACAAAACACACACACACACACGCAAAACACACACAAAACACACACACACACGCAAAACACACACAAAACACACACAAAACACACACACGCACAACACACACAAAACACACATACGCAAAACACACGCAAAACACACACACACACACACACACGCAAAACACACACACACACACGCAAAACACACACACAACCAAAACACACACACAAAACATACACACATACACGCACACGTAAAGCCATGCACATGTGTGTGCTCTACAACCTGTATGTGTGTGTAA